TCTTTAAAGTGTTACCGGCCTTTAAACTTCTTACGCTGACTTGGGCTATTTTCATTCAAGATAGGTTTGGAAAGGCCTCTCCTGGCAGAACCAAAGAGGTCTGGTGACGACTGGGAGGACAAATCCCTGGAGAGTGACCTCGGCCACTGGCCCAGCCTTTTGCAGAACTGTGTCTTTCTATACCTTAGGTCTACGACAGGCCTGAGCTGCTCTCTGGTCGCCCCTGTGTGCTAGACAAGGAGGGGTTTGGCTGCGTAAGAGGGTTCCTCCTTACATAGAGAAGGAAGTGGAAGAACTGATGTGTATAAAGCAAAGTTACTTCTTCCCTTTTTAACCTGTGATCTGTATCCTGATAGCTGCAGTAAGTCATTGAGATACAACTGCATGGTAGCAGGCAGGCCTGGCATTTTAAAAGAGCTGCACCCTCATGCGGGTGCATCCCAGGACAAGTGCTCTCTTTCAGGACATTTAGACTAGGAGAAAAGTTGTGTTTTTAAAGATATTAGCTAATGCAGCTTGACTAACACGTTTTGAAACCTTGCATAGGCCGGACAAGTCAAATGCTAAAAGGTGTTAAAAAGTGTTTGCTAAGTCATTCTAAAAATACAACTTTTATACCTGTCTAGACAATGACAGAATACTTTTTAAAATTACACACCATGCTCACGGGAAGTCCCACTGCGACAGCCAAGGAGAATTATAGCATAGGAAACAATCAATAAGAAGTTTCTCCACAAAGATTTTCAAAGCCATGGCACAGATTGATGTGTGGGGAAACCCTGACAGCCTTGTCTAGACAACAAGAGAATAAGATCCCTTTTTCAGTAGACTAAGCTCAGTCAGGCCCTCTTTTTTCAAAAGCAAAACCTACTAAAAGTCTACTAAGATCATCTTCTGTTCAGTTTTAGCAGGTCATAGTCTGGGCTCCTGGCTGACTGTAACAGTCTGCTAAAATCATGCTAAAGGTATTGAGGTCTATGTGTTTATCAGATAGGATTTTTAGTCCTTAAATAAGCTTGATTGAATTAGGTCTCCTTGAAATGATCCTTTCCCTAAAGCTGATGACACGGTAGCTTTTTTTTTCCATGCCCATTCAATCTTTTAACCCAATTCATTTGCCTAAATTGCACCAACAAACAGAAAGTTCAACATGTCTAACATTAGTATTTCTAGTCACTGGTTTCCTACAGGCCACCAGACAGCAATTGCTTTTGACTTCGACTTCACTTACTGAAATGTACTCAGACAAAACCCTCGATCTAATCTACTCCTCTGAACAGCTGCTTGAAAATAGCCTGTGTGCGTGCACACACACCGGTTGGAGTAATTGTCTTCTACACAGTCAGCAGATAAATTCTTAGTCATTAGTATATTTGCTTACACTGTTTTGCTTCTACCAAACTGACTGGAGAGTGAAGAAGTTAGAGTAACTGTTTCCCAGAAATGTATTAGCATCTTTGACATCTTAAACAATACTTTCAGCAAAGAAAAAAAAATTTAAAAGGGGAAAATTCACTGCCTCAACTGAAGAACAAGCACAAGTCTGGCCCCTATGGTCGTTTAATGTCAGGCCCTTTTTCATATGGGGGAAAAAAAAAAAAAAAAGATACTATTAATTCTATTTATTATTAAGGCTTAATCACATGGGTGGGTATCAGTCTGGTAGGAAAAAAATCTACATCTCAAATAACCTCATTATGTCTTTATGAAATGGGTGGGTATCTGACACTCAGAGGAAAATTCGCAAATCACCAACTCAATAGAAATAAAATTGAAATTGAAACCAAATAATAATCTGCTGATATAACGCCAGCTGACCAAAATAAGTCAGTCTGGACTTGCTTTAGATCCCCTGGTTTTAGTAATCATTTGTCAATGGAGCTGTTAAATGGAGCCAGTTAAGTTATCACGATGAGGCTTTTTCACGACTGTGTCAAGTTTTTTTGGCTGTAGCTGCATCACCTGAAATATTTTAGAAATACAAAATTATTTCCTATCTTGACTAAATAGGAAGAAAACAAATCTCCAATGCTTGTGAGGCCCGATGCCAGCAAAGTCCGTGATTTAAAATAAGACAGACACTCCGCAGTCGGCAAAGGCTCTTTGGTGAGCCGTTGTCATCACCTACAGACCTGAACAAAATCTTTCTGTCCTTGCTAAGCTCAAAGCATCATTAAACATTAATGGGAAGTTGATCTCAGTCAGATCAGCATGTTCTGACCTGCTGTTGATGCTTATTTCAGGTTTTCAGCGCTGTCTATCTTCAAACTTTCTCACGCGCTAAAATAATGTCTTTTAAATGTATCCTTTTATATATATACACACACGGTGAAAGACAATAATACCCATGCGCAGATATTTTTTGTCTGTCTGGTTTTTTGTCCTCTGAGAAGACATCGAATAGCATATTTCTTCTTATATCGTTGGGCCCTGTGTCCCTGCCTGCTGCCCGCTGAACCCAGCAGTAAAACCTCCCGTTTCTCCGCCGTGACCAGAGGGAGGTCCTTTTCAGCGAAAGCAAACAATTAGGAGCCCTAAGTTATTATTTCCTATTATTGTGCAATAAAAGAAGCTCTAACCATTTCAACGTGAAGGATAAAAGTGTACAGGATTCCAAACATCGTGCAACCGCTTTCCTCCGCCCCCCCGCCCCCGCACCCCGCGGAGGCTGCGGGGCTCCCAGCCTGACCCACGCGTGTCCCGGCGGCCGGAGCCGCGCTGCGGGAGGAGTCAAAGTACAGAGGGCCGATACCCTATTAGGCTAGAAACAGTTCTACATATCAAAGGCCGACGAACCTAATGACTAAAAATATAAGTACCTGACCCGGAGGATTAATCACACACTGTCAAGCTGAAATTGGTGCAATTCTTCCAATCATTAACGTTTTGCTTACAAAAATGTGCTTTTCTGTTTGTTTTTCTGCTAAATGATAACCATTTTCAAGTTGAATCGGCTGATAAAAAAGTCGAAAACAAGACGGGAGTTGTGCTGGAAAGGTCATACGTGCTAGTTCGGCATGAAATAGCCAACGGGCAAACAAAGGGGAAAGCGGGGTGGCGGGGGGGGGGCTCGAAGATTTTGCCGAACGGTGTAAAGCGCTTTGGCTGTTTCCCTCCTGCCGAGGAGCTCGGGGAGCGCCGGGCACCCCCGGGGGGGTCTCCCCCGCTGTGGAAGGGGGCTTCGGGCGTTAAGGGCAGCAGCTGGGGGGGTGTGAATGTTTCCCTAATTGCAGCCGGCAGCTCAGCCCGCCGCTCGCCGCCCCCGCCGCGGTGTTTTACCTACCGTGAGCCCCCGGCCCGGGTGGGTGGGAGAGCGAGGGCAATTCCGCAGCCGCGCCTGGGTGACAGCGCTTTTGTCACCTGTCCCGACACCCGGGAAATCCACATCCCCGGCCCGCCGGCTCCAGGCGACGCATCCGCGCTGCCCACCTGCAGGGAGCCGCCAAATCCCCCGCCGCAGCTGGGAAAGCGCCTGGGTTTAACAGCCCGGCTCTCCGGGACCACGTTACACCGGCGGGGACGCAGCCCCGGGTGGTGGCCGGGGCAGAGCCCCCTCCCGTGCCGTCCATCGGGCCCCGCAAGTCGTTAAGGGCGGCTGGATCCCGGCTTGTCCCAGCCGGGGGATGCCGGCATCGCCCCGCGTGGAAACGGGGTTTCCCGGGGTTCTCCCAAGGCCCCGCACCCCCGGGTCGCCGCCTGTCGCCCACCCGTCGTGGCGGCTCTTGCCCACGCGTGTTCCCGTCCCCGCGCCAAAGCGCAGCCGTAAGACCAAGCCGCCCTGAAGAGGTAACGCCAGTTTCGTGCTCCCTGATTCCAGTCGGGACAGACAGACAGACAAAAGAAGGAAAAATGGCAGGGAAAGGGCCGGGGCGCCCCTGCCCCAGCGCCCCCGCCCCGCTCCCGGCTCGGCCCGGGGCACCCAGGGCGGGCTGTGCCGTCCCCGTCGGGGCCCGGGCTGAGGCCCGCGACAGAAACACGGAGAGGGGGAAACGCGAAGGACGGAAAAGAGGAGCCTCCCCGCACCCCTTCTGCTCCCGATTTCCTCGCCATGGGCGCACCGGGGCTCGAGGGGGCGGCCGGCGGCTTCGCCCCGTCCCCAGCCCGCACGGGCAGGTGGCACGGAACCTCCCCGTTTGCTTTACGTTTTCGAGCGCCGTTCAGGAGCGCAGTTTTAAAAGAAGAAACCAAAGCTAAAGCCCCTCGGTTATTCAGAAAACTCAGCCGCTGTTTCTCGAAGCATTAACCCGCTCAGCCGCGACGCCCCCGCTGCCCCAAGGGCCGTCCCCCCTCGCCAGTCACAATTGCTCCCTAAAATCCTTTCCTGGCACTAAAAGCTTCCCCGGCAGCCGGCCGGGGGCAGGCCCCTGTCCCCTGGGTGTTCGCTGCGGCGCCCCGGGGGGGGGAGGCTGAAGACGCCGGGCTGATCCGGGCAGGTGCCCACCCCCGGGATGCCCGGTCCCGGGGACGTTTCCCCGCACCCCCGGGTTCCGTGATCCTTCCCCGCGCCGGCATCATTTCGGAGAAAAGCCGATGAATAACCAGTATTGACTCAGGCGGGTCAGCGGCTGCCCCGGCTGGGGTCGATGCCCGGCCCCGAGCAGGCACCGCCGGCCCCGCTCCTCCTCCAGCCCGGGCCCCCCCGGGCCCCCCCAGGGTCGGGGCGACTCGGGGGTGAACCCCGCCGCTTCCAGCCGGGGCTCGCAGACCAGGCTGTCCCCCTCCCGCTGCAGAGACCTTCCCGAGCGGGCGGGGGGCGTGCGGGCACGGGTACAGGCAGAGCCGAAAACCGGGATGAAGGTCTGGAAAACAGCAAAAATAAACAAATTTTTAAAATGACCCACGCGAGACGGCCGCAAGGCGAGGGCGCGGGCGGGCTGCAGGGCGGGCGGTGACCGGCACGGCTCCGGAGGGAAAAGCCCGGTTACGACACGCCGGGGCACTGCTGGCGGGGGGAGAGGGCTGGGATTTCTCCTGCCAGAAACTGGATGGGCAGCGTGACGGGTGGTGCAGAGTTTAGTTTTATTTCACAGACAAGTCCATCAAAAATTAAATACCAGGTTTTGCCTTTTTTTTAAAAACATTGAACAAATATGTACAAAATATGAACAATGTGAGGTATAAAACTGCAAGTCTTTTAAAGAAAACTAGTATGTACAGAAGCAGATGTGTATACAATAGGCACTATCTTCCCACAGCTGTGTGCCTGATTATTCTCCACAGCTGATGCCACTTTCTCTCCTGCAGCAGAGCCCTATCACTCCCTGCCTTTTCTTCTCAGATACACTAGAGATTTTCAAGGAGAAAAATATGTGGGGTTTTTTCCTGCAAATGTAATCATCCAGACTGAGGGGCAAAGTCCTCAAAAATCTGAGAATGCACGTTTAATCTCATGCAAGAGCAAAAATGAATCTGTCCAAAGACTCTACCTGATGAACGAAGGGATGTCTTGGTGGAGAGCACCATGGCAGGTAACGGGGTGTGAGCAGAAGGCACTTGTCGGGATGGTCAAATCCCTCCCTATTTCACAGAACATGTTTCTCTGCTTGCAAAGGGCGTTTAAATTAATCTATTTAAACTACATTTGTGTACACATACAAAGGGCTTAGTGCTCCAATCCGTACTCACTTCCACACTATCTAGAGAGGAGTTTTGCCTGATCATCAACAGCAGCTGATTCAGACCCCCCATGAGTAAGGACAGGGTGCAGTATTGTATTCCAGTTAGAATATCGATTAATGTACAAATATATCTTACAAATAATTAAATACAAACCATGTTCCTTTAACCAAATTAGAGATCTGCCAAAAATGGACTGTTTGCGGAAAATACATCTTTCTTTCTCTGCTTATTATAAAATGAGTCCATTTGGTGTTGGTTTGTGTTTTTTTTTTCTTTCAGTGGAACGATGAAGTTTTCTCCCATAGCATGATATTCTTCCAAACCAGCCCCTGGTAAAGTGCAAGCCAAGTTAGGGTCCACTCTCCACACGGGGCCATTAGTGGGTAGGATTGTAATAGCCTTTATCGCCTTCAATGTCCACTTCTTGGTCAGAGTCGTCGGAGACGTCTGACTCCACGTCCTCCTGCGAGGCTGGCGAGGGGGTGTACTGCGAGCCGTCCAGGGACACCTCCTTACCCTTCTGCTCGGGGGTCGGGCAGCTCTCCGGCCTTTGGTCACTGTGATTGTCAGCACCTTCCACTTCTTCTTTTTTGGTGGCCTGAGGGTTCTCCTGCAGTGAAAGAAGGCTGCTTTACACAGAAATATGGGCCACAGAGCCAGGAGGGCTGGGAATCCTGGCTGTGCTGGCTGGGAAAACCACCTTGGGTTTCTGTCAGGAGAAGGCAAGTGTCCCGCTGCCTCCCTGGGCCTCCCACCTACAAACCTGCCGGGGTGGGCCGGGGCCAAGTGAGGGCTGAGCCACACTCAGGGGCTCGGCTCATCCCGCTTGGGGCAGCCACAGGGGCTGCTGCTGTGAATAAGGCTCCTTGGCGATGGTTATCGCAGCCACTTCAAAAGAGTCAGGAGCTGCCGGAGCCCAGGAACCTCTGAACTTTTGTCTTAGCAAAGCAAATGTTTATTATGAGCCTACAAACACGGACACACGGCTTCCTCCTGCCCTGATCTTTCTTTAATTACACCCAGTGGCAAAAAGCGGGAGGCCGAATCCATCAGTGGCCCAAAACAAACGGGAAAAAATTACTGACTTCACTAAAACTCAATATTAAAACACCCACCATTAACAACAAACCAAACCAAACCGAACCATAACCCCATTTCCAAAGACAGGAATAGCCCTGCATCAGCAGCCGTCTGGAGAGCCCGGTCCCCTAAGGGGACATGAAATGATACTCTTAAGAGAAAGCAGGCAGAGACGCGTACCCATGATATAACCATGCAGGCTCAGAGAAATGGATGTGACTGAATGAAAAGGAGGAAATGACTTAAAATGGCCGAGATCCCAAGCGAGGTCTCCGGACACCGCGGCGTGGGTCGGGCCCCAACGAGGAGGAAGCACCACTGAGGACCCAGCCCAGCTCTTGCTGGAGTGAAGGGGTTTTATTCAAAAACTGACTGAAGCATGGGTTAAACCCGGGGGAAGGTCACAGAACAAACGTGTCTGCAGCATGGCACTGCAGTTAGTTTCCTTTTCTAATTATTTTTATATTGAAGGCTGATTTACCAGTAAAACTCTACTGTCCCTGTCATGCTTACTGAAGCCAGACTCGGGCCATAATGCAGAGATTTTTCACAAATCTTTGAACCAAAGAGCCTCGATCTGGCTGGGCCGGGCAGCGTCGGGCCCTCCAAGCCGGAAAAAAAAATAAAAATAAATAAAGATTTATCTGCTTGAGCACAATTTCTAAGGGAAGGGAAACCGCTTTAACCACTCAGCCTTATACACTGTAACTATTTGTAAACGAAAAGTAAAAGCTACTCAATTCTCCATGCAGCTCCTCAAAACAACCGAAGCGTTGGTACTTGCCTCTCTCCCAGGCTGGCAGGATAAATCCACCCGCGTTTATTAAGGGAGAGCGATTTAAAAGACCAGTAAATATTCTTCTCCAAAACAACTGCCTAAGTAATTTACTGACAATTACTTATCTTCTCCACGTTAATTGGCTAAACAACATATGGGTTTACAAAACAATTAGCGTGGAGTTTTAATAGGTGGTGTGTGAAAGCCGGGCATAATTGATATAGGAACTACATTAGGAGCTTTTAACGTTAGTGCTGCCTGAACGAGCCCTCATGGATTCCAGCATGACTATTTGTCTTTTTAATCAAGGTGAAGAGGTTAAACAGCCTTTCAGATGACTTCTGCATACAACCTGGAATAGGCGAGTACGGAATAAGATAAGACAATTAAAATACTTATTTCTATAGAAACGGAAACATCCCCGTACCTGCTTTAGACGCCTCCATTTGGCTCTGCGATTCTGGAACCACGTTTTGACCTGAGCAACGAGAAGGGGAGAAGGCACGGGGTAGTCTCGGAGCCGACAAGTGCCAGGAGCCGTACCCGAACCGCAAACGGAAAGCGAGACCCAGCTCCCCCCCCGCGCCGAGCCGGCCGGGGCCCCGGGCGCGGTGCCGCGGGGCTGCCCGGGGACGGGGTGCGCTGGCCCGGGGTGCGGTGACCCGGGGTGCGGGCACGGCCTCACCTGCCTCTCGCTGAGCTGCAGCATCTTGGCCAGGCGCTTCCTCTCCGGCGGCGAGAGGTATTTCTGCGTCTCGAACTTCTTCTCCAGCTCGATGGTCTGGTCATTGGAGAAGCGGACCTGCCCCCCTTTCCTCTTGTGCAGCGGCCGCTGGATGAAGGGGCTCCACAGCAGCGGCTTCCCTTCAAAGAGAGGCACAGCGCCGAGGGTCACCGGCCGCCCGCGGACACGCGTGCCCGGGGAGCCCCGGGCCCTGCCCGACCCCGGGCCTGCGGGTCCAGCGCCCGCTAATTTCCTCCGCCTGATCTGATTTCCCCCGGTTCCCGCTCTGATCTTTCACCTCCTCTGATTTTTCACCTCCGCCGAACACACAGACCAGCTACAGCCACTCTACGGGCTTTGGCAACATTTCCGTCAATGTGTTTCCTGTTGGTCTATCTCGCAAAGAAAAGAAAAAA